ATATCCATTTATGGAGAATAAATTTTAAGCTACATACTTCCACATGCATTAAGTTGAATGTTACATGTTTTTCAACAGTTTACTGTTGCACTGGATTTTTTTCCACCTAACCATTAGTTCCTGAGCTAGGTGGTTTTGTGTCACAGGTTTTGTATAAACACCCATTTAACAAGCAAAGTATGAAAATCAGTAGAATAAATTGCCACTCACAAGAGTAGAGACATCTGATATGGTAATCATCTAATGTTAGAAAAACTCACTGAAACAGACACAGAAAACTAAACAGACAAAAAGTAGAACAGGAAATTTGAAGAATTTTGATGAATCTTCAATGTGGTAGTTTCCAATTAATGCGCTATAAGTTCCATAACTTATTTTCCAGTTAATGTGCATTTGTAGAACACCAGATTTTTTCAATAGCAGAAAGTGAAAAACTTAGAGAAATTCTTCAGGCCAAAAAAACAAAGGCACTGGAATTAATTTTAAAACTACTCTATGACATACTCACTACTGAATGCATTACTACTGTCTAGATTTCAGTAAAATACTTGCAGCCGTTATATCTGTAGCAGATTGTAAAACTATGATCAATAATAATAATGCTAGAGATACTGTTATAAATATACACATTGTTTACTCTAATAAAATGAAGCATTCTTGACTTGTATAATGGTGCTTAAATTGCTTCAATGAGCTTATGTTGGTTGTGAATAAAAGCTTAATCAAAGAAGAATCAACTTACAAATAGCCCTACAACCTTTGCAGGAGATTGGTTAGTAGTAGGAGTGCATAGATTTTGGCACAGTATATCAAGCCACTTTTGCTTCAAAGAGAAATTTTTCCAGTAGTGATAATAATAATAATAGTAATAATATATATATAAATCTCTTTCAGGAATCAACATAAACATAATCCTATGACTTGCACAGTAGGTTTTATAGTAGGTTTCCCCAGGTTTAAATAAAATATTCATAGCCATTTTATCTGTAGGTTTGTGAAACAAGAATAATGTAAATAATAATAATATAAAGAACAAATGGATGAGTTTTGAATTTTATCTAACAATAGGAAAATCAAATTTTTTTTGCTATTATCAATATTTTAGCAGTCTTAGCAATTGAGATAGTGGGTTGTCAGTGTTCTTTCAAGAACATGTCTGCTTTTGAAGATGGTTTTTGCTCATATGTTCCAATAGAATTTTTGTAAAATTCCTAAGCAAACCCTATTATGAAATCTATTGTGGTTCATGATACACAGTAATATTACACCCAGGTGACACATGGCAGGAGTAAAAAATTACAAACTTATACTTTTAATAATTTTAAAACTATTTTTATAAACCAGTAACAATAAGAATACCTTTACAAATTAGCTAATGACACTATGACTCAATATTGTACAAGGTATTGAGTAGACATACCAGAACATGTGTATACTTATAAATGAAAAAGACTATTATAAACTCCTATGGCCAAAAGCTATTAGATACACATTGGGTTGTACAGTTTGATAATGGTGGTATTTATATACTTGATTATACAGTATGACAAAGGTTGTGATTACACATGATTGTATGGTTTGACAGAGTAGTAGTCACATTACTTGATTTTATAGTTTGACAAAGTGGTAATTATACATTTGATTGTAGAGCTTGTTATAAATACACTAGTTTGGACTATATACACGTATATAAAATTTTGCACACATTAACCCTTTCGAAATGGGTCGGGGTGAAAGGCCATGTCATCTCATTTGTTGACTCACAATCAAAATTGTATTGAACAACTAATTTACGAATTTATGTCAATAAGTTTGGTATCAAACTGTAGATTATAATTCAAATTTTAAAACTATATATTACTCAATTTGTTAATTTAAATGTAAATAAAAAAAAACACAGTTAAACATCGACTTTTGTGTGTCTTTTGCTATGTTGACTGCAGCAATGGTTCAAATTAGGTGTTTGTGAAGTCAAAATACTAAGTCTATAGTTTCGTACGAATTAAAAACTCAAATGACCGATACTGACATGCTAGAATTTAAAATAAGAGGGTCTTATCTTTTCCATTTGCTAAGATATTGCTCATGTAATAAATCAAACACAATGTCACCCCACCCACCACTTTCCATTTTTGGAAATGCTCACTTACATACACTTACTTCTTTATACGACACGTATGACAATCGGAAACTCAGAATGTTCCCCTAGTGGCTCTGTCAGCCAATTCTTAGGATGTCATTTTCTTCTGTTGAACCAAGATTTTAAGGAGGCAGTGTGTGTCTTTAGTTTCCTCAAATTTCATATTTTTTATAGACTAAAATACATCTTAGTTACTAAGCTTGATAAATTATAGTGAAATTCTGTGGTATTGATGTAGTAATTTATTATTTTCTATTTATTCAAATGCATATATTAAACCTAAAAAAAATATATTTTGTTTCATATCCTCCGCATGCAAAATTTTTAAAGGCTTAGCAACCTATGTCAAGCAGAAACCAAGTACAAAGGTCATAACTAGAAGATATAGTTGTTTGCTTTACTTCTTTATTTACTGTTTTATGTTTTAAGAAAAATAAGTTTAAGAACTTATTTCAAAATAGCAATAAACTATATACATATATGATGTATAATAATTGAAATGTGACTGTATTTTACAAAATATTACTCTACTAAACCACAGCCAAGACAAGTTACTTTGTACAGACGAAAGGTCAGTTTTATGTTATTTGATATGTTAACATGAGTGCACGTGAACCATGTCATTGTAACTTCTGTACTGTTAGCCAGGCATGGCTGAAAGGTCAATTTAATAAAAAGAATAAATATATATAAATGTATAATGTTACTTGATTTATGATATTTAGTCTAAACATTTATGTTTTCATGATATAATTTGTGTTCACTCTAGAATGAAAGAGGTATAATTTAAGTTTATTTCCTAATTTTTTATGGTGGTTGTAAGATCGGTCAAATCTACCGAACCCATACAGAGATAAAGGACTGAAATTAACAGATAAAACTGTTAAGAAACATTTGATAACTATCTGGAGTATATAAAGGTTTCGCATGTGAAATTTTAACATTTTCTGATGCATAAAAGTACTTTTATCTTAAAATGAAAATTACTTTGCATGATAGATAAGCAACATGCAAAAAGAAAAAAAAAAAAAGACATGAGAAAACCATTGCTTAACAAATCTAAGACTTAAAAAAAAAAATTATATTTTGCATATGAAAACATTGTAATGTTTACTGATAATCTGTCAAATTTCGTTAACATTCGCTTACTAAATTAAAAGTTATAGCATGAAAAATATAACAAGCACAAAATGGTTATGAGGTCGATCCTAGGGACCGGGCTGAAAGAGTTAATACTACTGAATGACAAGAGAGAAAATTAATGTGATTTAAACCACCACAGACTATAAAAATTGTATATTTCCTTTTGTTTAAAAAATAAATATGCACAATTCATAACACAATTTTTCTTAGCTGTATTTCTTATAATTAAAAGCTGATTCACAACACACTGAAGTTCTATCTCCAAAATTACTCATTGTATTAACAGCAAATGTCATCTATATATATATA